CAACGACAGTTTTGTGTGCTGAAATCAAAATCAAATGGAATGAAAACTAGAAGTTGTTTGATTATCATATTGTTTATATTACAGGTCAATATACTATAAGAGGAGTTCCTGAAAGTTATGCAGTGTTAGGGGAAAATTATACATTACAATGTGATGTTACACCCAGTAGTGTAGAGTTCCGTATAAACAATATTGTTGTATGTAATATATTATCTTCAACCTGTGAAAGTCAATCAACAGATAATAGATATAAATGTGGATGTATAAATAATAACAACACACAACTATATCTCAGTATAAGTAATATAAATAATCAAGACGATACAACATGGTCTTGTAATGGTAATTCTGGTGGACAAGGATCAATTAATGTATCAGTTTATTGTAAGTTTATTTTCATCTCAGTTTATTTTTCAGATTATCATTCACTAGTCAAACTGACACGATAATACACACTTAATTTATCATTTTCTGTGAAGGAAAAAAAAAATGTCCTTTCTCATTTTATAAGCAGTGTTATTTGGTTAAATTCAATCGATAAAATAACAATAGAAAAATTAAAGTGATTTTTACAGATGGTCCAGAGAATATAAGATTTAACCTTACTAGTGATAATATAGATGTTATAGAAGGATAGAATCAGAATGTCAACTGTTTAGCTGATTGTAAACCAGATTGTAACATCACCTGGTCTAAACATGGTTCAACAACAATTCTAAATAACCCTTTATCACTTAGTACTAGAGATCAAACTGGTTCTAATACCTGTACATTTACACATACTGTATTAAATAAACAACTTACAAAACAACTTAATGTTCAGATTTATTGTAAGTATATAATACTTTATTAATAAATACTAGAGATCAAACTGGTTCTTATATCTGTACAGTTACACATACTATATTAAATAAACAACTTACAAAACAACTTAATGTCCAGATTTATTGTAAGTATATAATACCATAACATGTTTAACTGAATTTTATTATTTCAGATGGTCCAGATGAACTGACTTTCTCACCAGATGTAACAAGTGTCAATA